TGTAGTCCTAAAAACCCATTGAAGTGCGCAGTGCATGTGATGTCAGCAAGATTGAGTGGATTTCTTGTAAGTTTGATGATTCTAAAACATTATATAATAGACAACAATAAATCCATACTAAATAATCAAGTTTTTCCGAATGTGTAACATTAGTAAATGTAATACTATGACCAGGATTTAAATTTATCTTGAATTCCCTCATATTCTGATTGTTTAGGTCAGGCGCGGATCCAGGGGGGGGCGAGCGGGCCTTGCCCCCCCCCCCCGCAAAAAAAAAAAAAAATGTGACAAATTCCTAAATTTACAGCCAGGCAAGAAATGTGATTCTTGAGATTCCTACATGTCAGGGACCGAGGAACGGCGGGGATCGGGAGCCTCGAGCCCCTCCCCCCCCCCCCCCACTTTTTTTGGAAAGGTATATTAAAGAAAAATACAAAAGAAAGAGAGCAAGAAAGATAAAATAGTTAACTGCCAGTGTCAACAAATAATGAGGCATCAAAATAGGCAAATCTGACCGTGATTAAATGCCTAAAGCCCCAAGCTTCCGGGGGCTCTGCTGGCCCCTGTAATCCACCTAGGGCCCTAAGGCGGGCCCTTAGATGCTCATCTGACGGTAATTTAATGTCTAAAACCCCTGAGCCTTCGGGGGCTCCACCGCTTCAACCCCACCAGGGCCCCTAAGGCGGGCCCCTGAATGCTTATTTCACCGTAATTTCTTGCCTTTAACCCCTGAGCTTCTGGGGTCGGACAAAATTTGTTTATCTGACCGCAGGCGCGTAGCCAGGGGGGGGGGGGGTGGGGGGCGATCCAAGAAAATTGCCGGCAAAATAAAAAAAGAGAGGAGAGAAAAGTAAGAGGACGTAGGAATAAAAAGGAGCAGACAAAGAACATCTTTGAAATTCAGACAAGAATTAAGAGTAGAGAACGGTACAACGCATCGTCTTCTTTCTCTAATGATTTTAATGAAACTTCGCGCCGGAGGGGGGGGGGGGACGAATTTAGACAAGGATTAAGAGTCGAGAACGGTACAACGAACCGTCTTCTTTCTCTAATGACTTAATGAAACTTAAAAGGTTTCGCGCTTCGCGCAGGGGGGGGGGGAGCCTGAATTCAGACGAAGATTAAGAGTCGAGAACTCTACAACGAATCGTCTTGTTTCTCTAATGATTTAATAAAACGTAAAAGCTTCCGCGCTTCGCGCAGAAGGAAAGGGGGGAACTGAATTCAGACAAGGATTAAGAGTCGAGAACGGTACAGCGATTCGTCTTCTTTTTCTCATAATCTTATGAAACGTCAAAATTTCCGCGCCTCGCGCGATAGGGGAAAACTGAATTCAGACGAGGATTAAGAGTCGAAAACTCTACAACGAATCGTCTTCTTTCTCTAATCATTTAGTGAAACGTAAAAGCTTCCGCGCTATGCGCGGGAGGGGGGGGGGGGACCTAAATTCAGACGAGGATTTAGAGTCGAGAACTGTACAACGAATCGTCTTTTTTCTTTAATGGTTAAATGAATCGTAAAAGCTTCCGCGCTTCGCGCAGGCGCTGAAAAAATGATTTTAGACGAGGATTATTTTCGAAAACGGTACAACGAAACGTCTTCTTTCTCTAATAATTCAATGAAGCGTCAAGAGGGAGGGGAAACTTGCCCCTCCCTGCACCCACCCCCCCCCCCCCCGCATTACGTCACTGCTGGTCACCATTACGTACCTATATTTAGCTCGCATAATTTAAAATTTGGGCCTCCACCCCCCCCCCCCCCCCCCCCCCCAAGAAATCCTGGATCTGCGCCTGGTTTTGGTGAATGGTCAATAGCACTTCGAAGTCAAAATGAAGGAAATATAATTGTAGACAAAATTGATATAAAGTGAGAAAGAAATATTGGAAGCACAAAATATGATCTTACATAATAGACCGAACTGGTTGTGCAACTGCTCAGTAGTCAAATTAGGTGAGAGCAAAGATCCCTGAGGGGTGAGGAAATCGTCGCTGGCATTATCGTTCCACGTTCCCATCAGGCCTTGCGTCTGACCTCTGAAGGAGTCTGGAGCTACAAGAAGAATGCTCATGGCTCCCTCTGATGCTTTCAACGTCAGTCCTACCCCTCCGTTGAAAACTACAATGATTCCATCTGAGGTAATGTTGCGACCAGTTACCGAGACCCCTAGTAAAGCGAACAGAAGCAAAACGATGTATGCATAAGAACTCAATTATTTAAAATACAGATTTACCTATTGTAAACATCAAACGATTGGTATCAAAATAAAAAAAATATATGTCAAAAACAGTTATTATAAAGCTCGGAGTTTCTTGTATCGAACCCCATCATAATTTCCAGCGGTGGGATATTCCTCAACACCAGGTTACTCGAAAATGTATTTAAGTCTTTCGATTGTTGAACTGACCTAGGTCTCCTGGTCGCCTTCCTAATACAGATAATAAACTGCTTTCTCAGCATCTTATTGATAGGAGAAGAGGGTAAAACTTCGGGGGGGGGGGTAAATAATATAATCCATACAATTCTTACCGCATGACGTAAACAAAAACAATTTAGTTTATAGGCGTGTTATAATTCATTAACGGGAGAGATATTGTTTTTTTTTTTCTTCTAATACCTGAATATGACCATCGAGAAGCCTGATCAAAGTCAATCCTTGTGAAGTTTTGTCCATCCTCGGCTAGTTGGACATACGCATCAAGAACCCTGCGTTCATTCGTTTGAACATGAATGACGTCACTATCACCATATCGTGCTGCCATGGCAACAAACACAGTTGCATCAGTAACTCCTATAGCGGAAGATACAGTGTGAAGGACTTTTTCATATGAACCCTCCCAAAATCTTCCCCTGAAAGAAATATGAATTATCCTATAGAATGATGTGTAAGTGTACAGACATTTCAGAAAGATAACGAGTGACTTCTTTTTGTTATTATGAACAGGATGAATGATCTGGCATTAGTTTCATCATTTAGCATAGACAGAAGTGTTTCCACTCTTTGAACAAAAATGGTTAACAATCAAACTGGTTGGGTTCCTAATCTTGTCTCATTTTTAGAACCCAAAAGAGTTCTTCCGAGTAACGTTTGTAATATGGCTCTTAAAGAACCTCTTGAAGGTTGTTCAATTAAGAACATCTTTTCAATGTTTTAACATCAAGATGCTCTTAAATGCACCTCTCACGCAGGGTGGTTGAAAGAATCTTTAAAGAACCTGTGGTAAATTTCAAGAACTCGTTCAGAACAATATTCTGACAGTGAAGTCTACGATGAGAAGAATACAATAACTAAGATCTTGTTTTTGAAATGCCTGTCAGAAAATTGGGAATAGGGTTTCAAGAATAAAAATCTTATTGTATCTAACTAAACTCACATTCAGGCAAAAAGATGTAAAATCGACGTAACAATTAAACTTTAACTGAAGACGGAAGACTAAACAAATAAATGGAAGATGTATTTTACCAACGAGAGGAGCCGCTCTTGCTTGTAAGATGAAGATGCCATTCAATGCGTTCAGCATAGTAAATTCACCATGACCGTTGAAGGTGTACGTGGTCGAGTCAAGAGTTGAAATATGTGGATCGCCATTGCCCAATGCTGTGATGTGACAAAGAGAGAGAGAGAGAGAGAGAGAGAGAGAGAGAGGAAGGGAGGGATAGATGGAGGGGGAGGGATGGAAGAAAACATTTAAATACAAATAAATGGAAAAGGATCTTGGAATGGTGTAAGTGGTGAATTTCTAAGCAGTAATTGATGTATTGAAGGTCACTAAACATGAACTTAAAGTGTTGCGCTCAAACATACAATATGAAGTGCATTGGTGTCACGAAAAACTGGATGGGCGCCTGCGTGTGTGTGTGTGTGTGTGGGAGGGGGGAATAAGATACACTACTCGAACCATTTGTCACCAATTTCGTGATTTTCATTGGTCATATTCGTCGGCATGAAAATATTGTTATTTTAACGTTGTTTGTAATTATGTAACCGCATAGGCGACGTTCAGATATAAGGTGGTAAAGCGTGATACGGTGCGGTTGTCATGTTCCTTGCGCGCAGTTGCCATTTATTTACTCGTTATAAAGAAAAACGCGGCGGCTTGCCGCGTCATATCTTAACATGGTTACACAAATTTGAATTCCAAATATGCATGACTATGTATAACGGTTGAATGGTAATAATGGTAATTGGGAGAACCTATTTAGGTTCAATTAGCTTTCCCAAAGTCGATGAAATAGGCATACCTGGAGGAGGCGGTACATAGTTGTTGCAAGTTTGAGAAGGCCGTTGCAATCCAAAGATATTGCACTCGGAATTCTGTGGTCCACCGTAAGTACAGCAGTATGTCCACGGCAAGATGTCGACGAGGAAGTGCGACAGATACGGAACCTGAATATTTGATTGAACTCATATGATATTATTCATAACTTTCACAGAATAACGAACGAGTAAAGCGTGAAAAGAAACAAAAGAGATGTTAAATTATAATTGACAAAAAAATTCTCAAAATCGCTCCTTCAAGTGCTGTTGACTTTCTCTTTCGTTGGAAATGAGAAAGGTCGATTTTCTCGTCGATATATTCTTTTGCAAGTAATCCTTTGAGACAATTTTCTCTTTGAAATAATAAGCCATTCTCTCATTTCCGTTCTCAGAGGTTTTGATTGTTTATTTAAATTAATTTTAGATGACCAGTTCATTAACACTACGAATCGAACACTTACTTCACCTGCACACATCCACTTGCACACACTTGCACATTTTTCTTCTTTTTTCTTTTATTAATTTCTTTCCACTTTTTATTCAGATACTTTCTGAACAAAATCTTTATATGCGACTCTCTATTCCCCTACATTCTCCTAAAACAGCGCCATGTACCCCCCCCCCCCCTTCCCGGCTGCTATCGACTCAAGCTTCCTTGCTTATGATAGTTCGCCTCTGCATTTATCTTGATTATTTTTACTCACCTCCATATTTTCAAGCTTTCAATTATGCATTTAAAAAAAACTCAGACCGGCGACCGACCGATCTGTAGCCTGCTCGGTCTCTGCTGGAAAACGGGGTAGAGGCAGTCCAGCAATATTTTGGACTGGTGATATCAAGAAAGTGTCTGGACAAGGAATGAAAGGTGCAACACAAATGACAAGTGAAAGAGTTGCATGACGTGCTCTCGTGAAGACCACAGCAGCGCTGTACAGCGCCACCCGAAGTTGATGAAGATGAACGGTTACGTCATTGCCAATGACGTAACATATCAGCCAATCAGATGACCGGAAACATTAGCATAGGCAAACCTGTTTGGGAAAAAAAAAATTAGCCGCCCGGTCGCCGAGCAGGCTACTTTTTTGGGTTGTGACCATAGCTTTAAGCCAGTAAATTTTGCAAAAAATCCAAAACGGTGGAAAGCCTTTGATTTTATGTTACGCAACCATTATTCTTTCATCTCCTTTCGCATTGTATTTTTTTCCACGAGATTTATTAAAGCTTTTGTTGAGGTAATTTGTTTCGATGTATATGTATGTATGTACGTATCGATGTGTGTGGAGTCGTTAGGTTCGATATACCAAGAACTTCTTGGATATACGGTAGTGCAGATGATCAAATGAAGCTCTAAGAAAAACAAATCATCTTGGTAATTTCCATTCATTTCCCAGTGCTTACTTTTTGTCTCTCCCTTTCTCTCTTTCTCTCTCTCTCTCAAATCAAATCATTACCCGATAAAATCCCAGGGTTGAAATTTTCTAAACCAATTTCTTTTTGCACGGAGGGTCACTAATTGTTCTATTTTTGCGTATTTCCTCGAAGTCCAAGCAGAACTTAAAAATATGTGTGTGAGTGTATGTGTTCATCCGAAGGAATGGTGTGTGTGGTAGACTTGCTCTATACTTTACTGTGCATACCACTCCCCCTCTCTTCTTCCATCTGTTTAAAACAGAGTCACACTAAATACATATTCATACGAAAAGAATCGTACCTTCTTAGGTTCTCCATATGGGGTGACGCCACCATGGTGGTATCGATGACTGTAGCCCCCTCCCAGACTATCAAAGACATTGATGATCATTCCATCAAAACCATAGCAGCACTCTTGTCCCCCTCCTAGTGAGCTGAAAAAAACAAAGCAAAAGTTGACATTTATTTTTTCCAAAAGACATCCATCTTCGAAGCTTCCAGACACGTCCTATTGTATTTTGTAAGAACAAATTAATATTTTAAAGTGAAAATTGTAAAAATTGCCGTATTTAAAAAGTTAAATAATGTCAATATCGATTATCTTATTGGCATCCTTGAACACTTATAACCTTGAGCAAAGCATTTTATCTTCATGGCTACCTCTTAAACTAGAGGTTAAATGACTGGTCGCTGGTACGCGGACCTCAAATGTGATATGGATTAGCGTGTGGGTTTCCTAAATTTACAATAGAGTTTGTAGAAGCTAGCTCTTCCAAATTAGTGTTTAAAATAAAATACCTCGGTGTGTCTGCTCGTACACAGTGTATCGCCCCAGGTTTATGGATGCAGTTGCTAGGCGACAAGATGTCAATATCACACAGCGGATGCGGACTAAATCTCCCTATGTCGATCTGGGCCTGCTCAAGTGTACATGGGCACGGGTGTGTGACGGACAGAAAGGAAAGATCAGACCGAATTTCTTTTCCAATCCAATCATTGCACCAAAATGTTACGTCATCGCCGTTGTGCCACTGTAGAACATGGACCTTGCTCCAGAGGGCAGCATGTGTAGAACTAAAATAAAATAAGAAAATAAAGAATAGGGAACTAAGGAAATACATTTAAACATTCCTCAAATGGCATATACCAAGAACACATCAACACCATTGGTCTACATAAGGTAACATGTCAATATATGCATGGCATATTCTTGGCATGATGGTAAAAACTATTGTTTACATGTATGTAAAGTTCTTTTAATACTGAGCTGATGTCATGGATCTAGACATACCGGTTCAATCAGCCATGTGACGTAGTTCAATGCGAAGCGCTTATGCTCATCAAGGTGCAAGCAGAAAATTGTGGGAAAATTATTAAAATAAATTTGGATAGGTCAAATTATACTGGACGTACCAGTATTGCCTATGTGGGATACAAGGCGAATTACCGCCTTCTTTTACTAATGTGGAAACTATCATCGCCTAAGTGATCTCAGGCATGTAAGGTACTATACAATCTTCCCTCGTGATCAGCCCCAAGATCACCTCTGGGATAATAGTTCGTCGGACTCAAAAGAATCTATGAATATTTAATTATTTATATTAATTATCAAGAACGATAGATGAACTCAGACTACATTTTAGGTGCAATATCACACATTTGCTTTCATTCTTACTCCTCCGCTTGACCTCCAGATTCCAGGACGCCAATAACACCGACGTCGAAATGGATCTCAATGGCAGGTAACCCTGAAACGCTGTAGTGACCGAGATGGTAGTTAATACGTTGTGCCACTATGATCAGAGGTCCACTAAACTCCACGTCATTGTCTTCTTGGTAGCCGTAGACAACGATATCAACCTCGTCCACGCTTTCGAGGGCATCTGTGTTCCATGTGATCTCGAAGTTGGACTCTCTTTGGCGGCTTTCCGTTACCGAGGAAAATACATTGTCAGGAACGTCCTCGACACTGACTAGTGGGCAAAAAGAAAAGTTCATCGTTTAGATAATCTGGGCATTTTTTCACAAAATTGTCAGAAATACGAGTTCGTCGACATCCTTCTAAAGCGTCAACAGTGTATATTACAATAAACCCGCGTTTCAATGGGATGTCGGCGAACTTGGACTTCCGACATTTTCGTGAACGATGCCCAGTTACATAAACATGATAACGAAGCAACCTATTTATCTGTCATGCTTCTGCTCAAGTCACTCTCTACTCCCAACCTCCAATCAAAGCACTGTATGTCTATGCTGTAGCCCTTCTTTTTATTATCTACATGCTTACAATAAAATAATCTCAATCTGAATAATGTGTAGATGGTTATAGCTTTAAATGAAAGACGATGTTTATATGAGCGTACTAATTGTGAAAAATCCTGTAAAATCGAACGTGACTCCATCGTCTAGAGACACGCGCAGGGGAATCCGTCCAACTTTATAGAAAGTCGGCGAAACGCACAGGGCGATCTCGTCTTCCAGAAGCCTTCCAGAAGTCTCGATTCCGTCGAAGTCACAGATAATCAGGTTGGTTGAATTGAAGCATGGTCCGTTGATAAGAACCTGAGTTCCACCAAGCATTGAACCGACCAATGGGAACAGGGAAATTGCACCTGTTAGAACGAAAACAAACCTGTGGTAAACAAAGTGGAATAAACAAGGGCGTGGCATATTAATATTACGCACTTCGGTATTTACATGTAGGCTCTCTCTCGCAATGCCTTAAAGAAGTTCACGCCGGAAAGCCACACACACTCACTCACGCACGCACGTTCTCCTACACAAATTCATTCGTCTATGCACCAGGTTGTGAATTATTAATGAAAAGATGGATGAAAAAAATATTTTCGGTACATTCTAATTGACCGAAGGAAAGTGGTTTATTTGGACCCATTTTATGATACGTTAACAGATCCTGATTATTCAAAATTTAAAAAAAATTGACGAAGCAGAAGTATCACAGAATACACAGAATATATCAAAGGGAATAGGAAATGTTTTTTATGAAAAGAAACACGTGAGTCATATCTAACTCTTAACAATGTATTGAGGTCTGGTGTGAAGCCGTCCGATAAAAAGGACACAATTGAGTTCATAGAATGGTTGAGTCAGGGAGAAAATGTGGTAGAAGGGGTACAGAAGAGTGGATTGAGATGCATGGGTCATGAGTTGAGAGAAGAGGACGAGGAGCCTGTGAAAAGAGTGTGGGATCTGGAAGTAGATGGCATGAGAGGAGAAGGAAGACCGAAGATTTCTTGGAAAGAAATGATGAAGACAGAAAGCAGTACGGTTGGTCCACAGAGGAAGTTTGCTCGAGACAAGAAGAAGAGGAGAGAAGGAGTGCCATCATGACCCGAAAGTCGGTAACCTCTTTTTGGAGGGAAAATGCTGATGATGATGATGCTGATGGTTGCAACAACAAGTGCGAGAATAGTAATTGTTTACATACCAGAGGTGGTACATTCTAGTCCTTCAATGTTTGAGTTGTCCGTTCTAAACACCCATCTTCCGGGTACACCGATGTTCGATGTCGTTTCGATATCGACGACGACCGCTGTCTGAGATCCAGGGACACTATAAGAGGTCACTCCGTCACCAGCGTTGAATCCAACCTAGGAGGCAAACATGTGACCTTTGAAGCAATAAGTCTGAACACATGTAACTTGAGACGGGATTAAGTAATTTCTTTATTCGTCTCATTCCATGTCTTATTGCTTTGTCCAGTGTTGATGTTTTTTTTAAAGAGTAAAAGTCTTGAGAGTTCTTTTGCCGATTTATTAGTTGATGCGATACTTGATTGATATATTTTTGACGTTAAGCTAGATGGAAATATACCAGACGAATCGAGCATCTTTTTCATATTATGGATCGAGATCTACAGTAGCTTTTACATTTTCCTCTTGTTGTGTGAAACTCCTCCTTATGACAAAGTGGAGTTCGAGTTAACGATTACACACGATTGGGTGTGAAATGTGCTTGTCAGAATAACTGCACATCCCAGTACAATAAGGTTTAGAATGTGATTGCCAGAGAATTTATGTGTGGCACTCTAATAATGTAACAGGTGTCACTAAAGAAATGAGCGACAATCGAATGAAATATTTACCAATGCAAAATTCTTCTAAGTCCAAGTCACTACAATGGAACCATAAGGCACTGAACCAAAAGATCGTCCGAAATTAAGACTATAGTATTACAGTCTCAACCGAAATGACCAACACCAAAATGACAACAGACCCTACCAAAAATTACATTACACCGAATGGTTGAGAATTGGACATTCTGAACTCGATCGGCTTGGAGTCGGTTTGGCGGTGTGACTGGATGATGTAAATAAATGGGAGGGGCTACTGCAATACATGAGCTCGTTACCGCATTTATAAGCGTGTATCACTTTTATAAGAAGAGGGAGCTTCGACCCAAACGATGTAATAATTTACCTGAGCGGGGGTTCCACCAAGACCAGTACCACTATCACCACCACTGGCAGTTCCCGTTGTCCAGTTGATATCACCGTAATTAAAGATGGCGAAGGAATAGCGACCATCCGTCACCATCACAGCTTGAAAGGAATTTCTCTGAACAATGATACAAACATGTTATCAAAACCTATAGTATGACATTAATATGAAACGGTTTTGTTTAATGAATAAATCCATACAACAAAACGGGTAAAGCGGGTGAATGAAAGTGACCCGCAAATTTAAATACTTTTGAATAGTGGAAAACATGAACGGACCAATTTGAAATTAAAAAAAATAAAAAAATTGATATAAACGTTCATTTACCAAATTGCGTTACTAGTCAAAAAGTGTTTTACACATTTTCAAAGGTGACATTTGGATGGTTTCTAGGAGGTTTGCATTAGGCTCAAATACCTGATGTAATTCCTTTATCGTGTATGCAAATTGGCCGACACTATACTTTCAAAATGGTCGAATGTCATCTAGTAATTGTAAGACCCCGTAGCATGCATGCTGGGGTTAGTGGTAAAGATAATATTCTCATTAAAAGTAGTCAGGGCACTTGTTTGGGTAAATTATATTACCTTAACATGAAACAGTTCCTGAAAGCCATGTTAAGGTGGCGACAAATGATAAATGAATAGGGAAGCGGCGAAAAACCTCTTTCCATATCTCTCGCATTAAAGAATGGAACAGTCTCCCAGATGACATAAACAAAATAGTACAACTCTTTCTAGGTTTAGAAGGTTATCTAAAACGTACCTACTTGAAAGACTGACATTTATTTTTATTTGCATCTTAGTAATTTCTTATTCTGAAATGCTTTTTGACCACTAAGGACCTACTCGTCAGTGTGCCTGCTGTGTATAGGCCTGTGTGTACGTGTGTGTGGGTTTGTGTGTGCGTGTGTGTGTGTGTGTATGTAATAGAGTATTTGTATGTTCTATATTATGTAGCTTAATATTTTCATCCATTGTATAATCATACGTAACATTCTTTTTACTGTAAATGTATGTATCTATAGGGCCCCGCTCACAAGCTTAGCTTCTAAAGGGGTCCTAAAATCATTCAGTTTATGATGTAATCAATTTAGAATATGTTGATTGATGTACTATTACCAGTCTCTTTTTTATGTAACAGATTATATCATTCTTTGTGTGGTTTTGAATAAAATGAACTGAACTAAACTGAACTGAAAAACAGTGTACTTACGATGGAGGTATCAGAAGCACCGAAGAAAGCCACTCTGTCCCAGGTCGCGATGTACATCCATGACGACATAAAGTCTCTCATTTCAACAAATGATGCTCGTATAATTCCATCGGCTTCGAGGAACATGCCGTCGTTTTGGGCGAATCGTAAGACCTGTCGATAGGATAGAGTCCCGCCATTACGCGTGTCGATATCAGCCCAGAATGGGGTCAAAAGTCGTCGGCCATCAGCGAGTGGAAACGGTACGGAGGTATATTGACTAACTCCCGCCAAGAACGAGATGACACCGTTATTGTTGACCTGCATCAACATTTATATGTAAGCGATTGGTAATAAAATTAAGTGTAAAAGAGGGGGGGGGCTGGTGATATTACAGAGAGAATGGGAATGAAAGTACAAACACGAAAACAAATGGGAAACAGATAGAGAAAGTTGTTTTATTCTACCCAATAACTTGGCGCAAATGAGATCTGGCAGTCTTGAAAAGATTGTCTGATGTTCAGTCATGCATGCAGAGATTCAAATGAAAATGGTACCTAAATGTACTGGGGGATAACTCTATCAAGACATATCATGATGAAACCCATGATTAAATATTCATACTTCAAACTATACAACTTTTAAAAAGTGGGACATTTTTTTTCTGACTCACTCTGTACATAGAACATCGATAGTGTTAAGATGATCAATACAAATTTACTTTATTTATTCCAAAAAATATGTCATAACATCCTATGTTTGATAAACGTTTACAAACTTGATGTCACATAACGGACGAGTACAACTAAGTTTTGTGTTCCGATAAGCTACGAGGGACTTACAAAAAGACTGGTGTGGTCGTGATCGAAGAAAGGAAAGGCGACGGAAATTGGTAGCTCTTCTGTGGAACCGTCATCGTTGGCGGGTAGGAATTCATCCCCTTCATTCAATCCAAATGGGAAAAACAGACCTGAAAATGATAAGAATAAGGGCGAATTATTATAATACTAACATCAATATCAATACTAATCATAATAATAATGATGATAGTAATAACAATAATTTACTTAATTATTTTAATTGATTTATTTATAAAATTTCAACGATTTTTAAGGTGCCATTACGACCGATATTGTTCTCTTTCTTAGATGACCCGGATGCTGATGAGGCACAATGAAAGAATGAATATAAATCTTCAATTCATTACTTTATTTATAAATGTGCGCGAGCGAAGCGTGCGGGCTTTGGGGGTACATTTGAGAAAAAGATTGCCCCCAGTCGCATTAAATTAGGGCCAGTTATTAGGATGGTTATGACAAAATATATTGTTTCTGGGGAGATGTGGGGTGATAAGATCATTTCATCGTAACACGTACAGTAATCGTGTATCATTCTTTCAACATAAATGACATTTGGTGTTGTTAATGCAGCTCTCATTATTTAAAAAGCTCTGGCAATGTATTTACCTGAACATTATTTAACGAAGGGCACTTAATTTTCTGACCTTTCTATAAAGTTCAGAAGAGCATTAGGTTTAAAAGAGGATAGGTCGGAAGATCCCTTTTAGAGAGCACGATTATATTTCTAATACGGGCACAGTTCGTTCTCATGAAATGTGGGTTATTTTGCCTCTGTCACCGGCTCCACTGCCTTTTACTTGTTTGTAGAAAATATTCCTGTTACTACACAAAGTAATAGGGCGTATTTTTTTTAATTAAACCAAAGGGCAATTATATCAAAAGTAACGAGGGGAACTTATCATTATTTGAAACTTTGAAAGAGTCACTTATTGTGCAATGTTAATTAAGGGCACTTAGTAAAAAGGAAAAATGGCCACTAATCAGAAGGGAGACGGGCAACAGAGACAACTGTCAAAGTAAAAGGAGCATTTCCCAGAACAAAAAAGTGGCATTGCTCTTACCCAAAAAGTCATTTATCAGAGGTGAAAAAGGGTCATTTATAAGGAAGGGAAAGGGACGCTTTTTACAAAATAGGGATAAGAGGCACTTTTCTTAGAATAAAAAGTGGCACTTGAGGCTTATTCTAAAGTATGGGGGCACTTTACCCCTAGTAGTTCCCCCTCCCCTCCTCTCACCGGGGCGACGCCTCTGCATTAGTGACTATTATTTTTGGAACATGGGGAAATATATGGTTATGGCAAAATAATGTTAATGTTATCTCCAAACCTATAACATAAGGCATTATCTTGTACGAAGTTTTACTTCTCTCATTTGACACCTCATGAAATGGTAAAATGAGGTTTTATTAAAAAGTGATATTAAAAATCCGTCAGTATTGGTTTAAATGGCGGCCATTTTTGTTATCAGTAGGTTGATTTTGGGGTAATGAAGTATACTGAACACGTTGGTACTTAACAACCTTTGAAAACATTCGATGTCTCAAAAACTTGATCCCCCCCCCCCGGTTGATGATATCCCTCAGCGAACCTGTTTGTAGAAGTTATCGCAAAGGGGACAGATAACAATGTTGACTTAGGATGTATTGTTTGGTTGTTATGACAACTATGTCTATTTTACTTTGGAATCGATAATGGGAATATTAATAATCAATAGACGTGATGCTTGTTGAAAGAGATATAGAAGGGAACATCTGTTTATTGCGACAGAATATCGAGCCACGTTTACACCACAATTCCCCCACATTGCGACTTGGGTTCTAGGACAATCACAATCACCCCCAGAAAATTAACCCCCGAGGGTAACTACCCCCCAAGGACAATTACCCCCCGAGGACAATTACCTCCGAGGACAACTACCCCCCCCCCCCCCCCACCGAGGACAATTACCTCCGAGCGAAGACAACTATTCCCAAGAAAAACTACCCCCGAGGAAAATTACCCCCCCCCCCGATACAATTACCCCCTCCCCGGAGAATTACCTTCCCCGGGGACGACTATACCCCCCCCCCGAGGACAATTACCCCCGAGGACAGCTACCCCTGTTGGACTCAGACTCTGGAACCCGTCCAGTGATATGTACATACGTATGGGCACATTTGAGAATATTAAAAAAAAGGAAAAGACATTTTGAAACTTGTTAAAAATTAGTTTGTAATCAACACACTAGAAACGATTTAAATAATAATAATAAAAATAATTCGTCCTTATATAGCGCATTTCAGGACGGCAGGCCCTCTCAATGCGCTTTACAGAGATATATTATTACCCCGGTCATCGTATTCATGCTTACTCGCACACAATGTATGCACATTTTGCAACCACACTAATTTTCGCATCCTACCGGGTACCCATTTAAAACCCGAGTGGAGAGTGGCAAATGTAGATAAATGTTTGTATGCGGGAACCTTGCCGCCAAATGTACATGAATAAAAAGCGAGATATTCGGTCTTGACCTTGATACACGAATATGGGGATATTCGGGCCTCTCGTTACCCTTATTTATCATGTTTTTAAAGGTAATGAGTGTGGTAACAATGTTATCTCGAGAAAAAAAAGATATAATATATATTTGGGTGCCTTGCTGTCAAAATATTGTCAGCGAGCAAGGAAGAAAAACACTATATTATCTTTAGCATGTTATTTTCTCATGTCATTACATACATCACAAAATTTACGTTTCCAAATGGAATTAACATTCTCTTGCGGCACCTTGGTTGAAAAACGCTGAGCTGGAGTTATAAAATCAAATAAGATGAGTTAACAGAGGGCGGCTATTTTTTTTATTTTAACATGGCACCGTAAATATAACTTGAAGGCGATTTCTGTTTCAAAATAATTTATCGTACAAGAAAACATATTATTCTCCAGCATGTCAACAGAGATATGTATAGATAACGTGAAGAAAACCTTAATTTTGGATCATGGATAAGGGCCCAATAAACATACAAAGACAAATACACGATCAGTTGATTAAAAATGTTACAGAGGATGCATACATGAAATCTGACGTCCTAATTTATTTGTTGTGCCAATTGTTGGTGAGAGACGCTGTAACGCGTACTCATCTGCGCGCAATGTATTGTTAAATTTCTAAGAAATGTAATTTCTGTTCTTTATTCTGTGGCAAAACTACGGGGAAATTGGGCAAGCCCCCCCCCCCCCCCCCTCTCATCGATTTGAATAATTTGAAAAGACTGAAATGAACTTCATAAACAACTAAGAAAATAAAAGTTCATGTAATTTTCTGGCATTATACGTCACAGTGTTACAAATTCCTCAGGGGTCATTGTCATTTGGGGGGTACTCCTGGGGTGGGGGGGGGGGGGGTAATTGTCCTAGAGGGTAGATTTCCTCGGGGGTAGTTGTCCTCGGGGGTAATTGTCCTCGGGGTAGTTGTCCTCGGGGGTAGTTGTCCTCGGGGTTAGTTGTCCTCTGGGGGTAATTGTCCTAGGGGTAGTTGTCCTCGGGGGGTAATTTTCATCGGGGGTAGTTGTCCTTGGGGGGTAGTTTTCCTCGGGAGTTAATTTTCCCGGGGGTAATTTTCCGGGGGGTAATTGTCCTCGGGGGGGGGGGTGATTGCCCAGGGGGTAATTGTCCTGATACACACTTCACACCGACTCCATAATATGGTCAACTATTGGTCGTTGGTGGTAATGTGCTGCCTCAACCATACCAACGAGCCCGTTGGTATGACTTATCTGATAATGATTATTATAGGTTTTCCCGCCCAACTTCGTAAACTTAGCATCCGAATTAACGTTACGTTCATTCAAGTTCGTGCGAAATTGAATGACTATGTAGATCAACATTTAAAAAGCTAATTGCGTCTTTCAATTTGATTTAGTAGCATGCGATTTCATACTCTTGTCACGGAGAAGTGCAAAACGAGCATTCAATTTAGAAAAGCGTGCAAAGAGCATTCAAATTCGCGCCGGACAGACGGTGGTATGTATTCGAGCATTCAATTTCGTGATTGAAAGAGGTTGCCCATAGACGAAAATGAAACCGCAATTCGACAAAGAATTGTCCTCCCACTCAACTTTGGCGAAATTGAATGCCGCTTGCGCATTTCCAAATTGACTAAACCAAACGTTAATTTGAATGTGGTTGTTTCGAAAATTCGGTGACTCGAAACGAAATTGAATGCAAAAAGTTTAAAAATGAAACAGGGAAGTAACGAGGGGAGAGAATTTGCTCGAACATGAATGCACGTTAGTGAAATTGATCGCTGCTTTGACGAAATTGGCCGGGAAAACCTATATTACTAATGTGGTTTTTAAAAAAGACAGAGAGAGAGAGAGAGGAGAAGAAAAAATAGAGATGGGGGTGAAATTTGTTTGATGGACAAAAATGAATGTTGTTAGCCTTCAAAAGACAAGAACACAAGCCTTAATAATTTACAAACAATATTATTTCGGAAAGTTGGATATAAATAATTGTATGATCTTACTTTGATCTGCCTCTGATTTCTGAGGTACATCGAAGATGATAGCCACGCAGAAGAAAATAGCAACTTTCCAAATCATCGCAGAGAGTTACAAGTCTGTCAATATTTTAGAATCCGTCCAATAGGCCTATCTTTTGCAGTTATCTTCAAAATATAGCGTCTTTCTTCTTCTTCTTCTTCTTCTTCTTCTTCTTCTTCTTCTTCTCCTTCGTCTTCTCCTTTCGTCTGTGCTCTGCTGATCGTCGTCTGTCTTTCTATGATTGTCTTGTTGCTCAGCCACCTGGTTTCTCCCTTTACACGTTCTGTCCACTCACTAGTTCACAGCCTGGAATGTTCTCACTGTCTACCGTACTCAATTCGTCGCTTTACGGACGTGCGCGCCAGTATATCTTCAAAAAGATTGCGCAAGCATACACATCCTGGTTAAATAATTATCTTGACAATAAATTAAATCCCTATACAAACAACCGCAAAGACAAACATACAAGGTGTAACTGTATTACAGATTGGTCACGCACTTTGATTTTTATTTTATCAAGAATTACAATGTAATTTCGTGTAAAAACATTCCAGTCAGAGAGGATAATTATGTTTTCTGCATTATCTACTTATTGATTTATTTCCACGGTGTGGATTTACGAGGTTAATGATGTCCAAAGATTGAAACATAATAACAAGTGTTCGGATCAAACACCAATTATCATGATAACTGTATGATAAGCGAATGCATGTGGACTTTGCGTCATTATTTTGGGGAATGTCTATACGGATATCTGATGTAGAGATAGTAGTAGACTAGCCAATCATAATTGGAGGTAATACGTGGCATCCATGCTATAACCTTTGCAACAACAAAAAAATAAGCAATAATGTGACGGTAGGAGTCGATGCAGTCAGGCGCGGATCCACGGAGGGGGTGGGGCGACGGACTCGGAACCCCCTTTGGACTTAAACAAAATATAAACAAAATATATGAGTGCACTACCACCCCCCCCCCCCCCCCCAACTACTGACCGAAAATGTCGATCTGCGCAATTTACACATTTACTGGGCAAAAACGAAAAATTAATTATGCTTACATTATGCATCACACTATTGTCAATACCAAGTAAAATGTTGGCAAAGATAATTATTACCCGTATCATAGATGCTGTTGACCAAAATCTCAGAAGGAAACAAGCAGGTTTTCAGAAGGGAAAAGGTGCACTGACCAGATATTTGCACTACGTAATACCATGGAGCAATGTACAGAATGGCAGAGGAAACTTTATATTAGTTTTGTTGACTTTGAAAAAGCAATGGATAGCATCCACCGAAACAGCCTTTGGAGAATACTACGCAAATATGGGATACCAGTGCAACTAGTTCTTGTAATTTTCACATGAATAGTAGGAAAAAGTAACCATAAATTCCAAGTGAAGACTGGAGATAGGATGTGTCATGTCAGCACTGCTCTTCAATATCGCCATAGACTGGGTAATGAGGCAGGAAACTGAAAACCCAAAAGAGGCATATTATATGGACCTTTTTTTTATTTGAGGACCTCGACTTTGCAGATGATCTCGTTCTACTTTCACACACCCACCAGCATATGCAAGAAAAAACATCCAGACTCAGTGATTTTGCCCAGAAAATTGGCTTGAAGATCAGCCAAATGAAAACAGAGGTGATGACTCTGAAAATCTCGAACCCTTTACCAATACAAGCAAACGGGGAAGACCTACCTATAACTGAGGAGTTTACTTACCTGGGCAGCACTGCCAGGCACGACGGACGCGCAGGCAAAGATATTAAGAACCGTTTTGATAAAGCCAGAAATGCATTCAGAATACTCAACAATATATGGAGATCACAGCAGTACAGCATCAAGACCAAGTTAAAGTTGTACCAGAGCTGTGTCTTTTCCACTCTTCGGTACGGCTCTGAATGTTGGAGAATGACAAAATACGACCTCAATAAGCTGTCGGTCTTCCACACAAAGAGCCTGAGAAGAATATGTCGCATTTTCTGGCCGAACACCATTTCAAAAGAAGCACTGTATGCCCAATGCCATCAAGGCAGCATGGAGAACATCATCATGAGCAGAAGGTGGAGATGGATCGGACATGTAATGAAAAAGGACATAGATGACATCACACGAACAGCCCCAACTGGACACTAGAAGGCGATAGAAGGAGGGGAGGTCCTTAAAACACTTGGAGAAGAACTGTGGAAGGGGAGAACCATCCAAAGACTGGCCCAGTATCGGAAGGAGTGGAAGACGTTTGTTGCTACCCTATGTGCCAGGAGGTATAATGGGCAGTAAGTAAGTAAATAGGGGTCGATGCCATGCAAGTAGTAACTCGTATTACAAATATTTTTACTCAAAATTTGAAAGTAGAAAACTAGGCTTTTTGATTTTTTGATCACAAAAAGTATTATCTGATATTAAAAGGAATTTTAATTGATGTAATTTTTATCACAAGTTTTAGGTAATTAACCTTTTAAATAAACAATTGAAAGTGGGATACTACACAAGTAATTATGTATGATGAAATGAATCATGAAACTGTGATATACTTCGAATAAGGGGGTTATAAAAAACTACCTATATTTTAACATCAAAATAATACAACATAAATCTGACGACTGAAGCATTTTTCTTGATTCAACATATGACATATTTTGTCATGCCAGATATTATTTTTAAAAAGTCATTTTAAATTAACCTAGAAGAATTGATGTCTTTTTACGGGATGCGCATTTTGAGTGAAAAGCACACTTTACATGCCAGTTACGATGATGACGACGACGATGATAATAAAAAAACATGGAGACTCTCCCTCCTCATTATCTGATTGTTTCTTCTTCTTTTTTTGTTCCCTCTATCTCTCTCTCTCTCTCTCTCTCCCTCACTCCTCTTTCTCTCTTATGACCTCTTTCGCTATCAAACTGATGGCCACATGTCACCTCCAACAGCCGTTGTAAAAATATATATTTCTTTAAATTAATGCAAAAGAAGAACAAGACTACTTTTAATCAAATCAGCTAACTTTATTTTCGCCTTGACAAGATCGAAATATTTATTTATATGACAAGTCGACTGCTTAACCATGTAAATCTAATATTTATATTTTCCAAAATTGTATTACTGATGTAGATTTACCACAAATTATGAAACAACTATATACATATAGAGTGAACATTCACACAAGGACAAGATCATTGTAAAGTTCCATTAACAAGTTATTTTTTTCAATCTTTTATCATGATAATACATTTAAAATTAAAGAACAAAACAATCGTTGGCTTCAAAAGAAAAACTATTTCATTGAACTAGGACGACTACTGTGTTTGTAGAGTTGTGCATTAAAATAAATTTGTTTATTTTGTGTACATGTAATTGTATTCATCGTAATTTGCATGTGTAATGCCTGATTCTTGTCATCATTTTTGTGTATTCCTTTGCTCCTTTCAACCATTCTTCCTTTGTGTAAATCTTCCGTCATATTATGACCTCTCCCTTTGTGTTACCCACATCTGATCAACCTGTTGTGTTGTGTTATGTTTATCTGTTTCTTTCTTTTCTCACCCACTCGCCCACTCGCCCAACCCACCCACCGAACCAGACCAACGGAAGACAATTGTGTCTTAATTCAGGAATTACATATTGACTCTTCGCAAAAGTGAAGGCTATATATAATCCTTTTTTTTTCTTCATCGTTTTCCTTTTAAATGTTTTTCAGTTCCCAAGTGGTATGACATTATCTTCTTTTTTATTCCTTCAAATTTCAAATTCAAATTTAATCAATTAAAATAAAATATGATATGATTAACTTACAATCAACTGCATTTTTTTCTTCTTTTTGGCTCGAATATATAAACAGCAAAAGTCATAATTCGGGAAAGAGATACCATCTCTCTGGAGAAGTATTTGCTCCTATATATGACGCATATAATTGTCTTAGTGCTTCTCAATATCTTAAATGTTATACGGAAATCAAAAGATAAGTAGGCCTCTGACAATTGTCAATGACTTTTACCTTATCTTAAAGACACACGTTCTAAAAAAAAAATGTATAAAGCTTTTATGCCTTTATTCAGATTTCCATATACACAATTATGAAGAAGAACTTAAATTTTGTTACATAAACATAGAACATTGTATCCTACATTATAAACACAGACAAACTTTATTTTTTTATAAGTATCCAAACTAATATAGTACACAAGAACAGAAATTGTGATACAATTCTACAATTTGGGAGGAAAACAAAAAAAGAAGAATTTTTAATATAGACAAAAGCCAAAGGTGACGGTAATACTTCATATTAATATTTTCGGACACAACGTTATGAAAATTAATATTTGTTTTACAGTATAAACATAAATTCTATGCAAATTAATTGGTTCAATATTTAATTAAGCAATCTGAATCATTTGGGACCACTGTAAGAGGTGCAGCGCCACCTCTTGGTAAGAAAACATGAAATGAGAGAGGAAACTAATCTCAAAAGGCTGAATTTAAACAGCGTGAGATAAAACCGGAATATAACAGCTTCAATGGTAAACGAACCTACTGCATCTAAGAGTAGTTTATTGAGAGTCATGGTAAGATACTACCCTACAGCAACCACCGTTTAACAAATTTATGTTAAAGACATAATTATTAAGTATGACATGTATAATGGTTATGAATATGGTTATCATTTGGAATATATATTCACGAACACTGCGCCGTCTCTAATATCTAGTTCCTATTGGCAGTTGAAATTGATTTAAATCATAAACTTAAAAGACGAAGCTACACAAATAGCGTATAATAGTAAAGTGTATATGCTCTATATCAAAGCCATTTATGTCTGAGTAATAGCAACAAAACATATTCTGAGATTTGTTTTCTCCAAATAATGAAAAAATAAAAAGCCTACAAAAAGCGTCAATATGATTATCCACTTATGCATGTATTTGCAGAGATTACAAAACAGTGGCTTCGTCCTCACGCGTCGATCCACTCGTTGTACCGAAGTTCACTGCGAAGACTCAGCACTACAGAGAAAGAGGGAAAGAAAAAAAAAGAAAAACGCCATCAACATTAAT